TTCCCTTTACAATAAAAACCTCCTTTTTCCCCAACACTTAACCTTCATTTCATTTTTCCCCCAAATCTCTTCTCTTCTCTTCTCTTTCTCTCTCTCTCTTTCTTTTTTTGCCCTATCTCATAGGGTTCCATCCATCACTCTCTTTCTCATGCGTTATTGCTCTCAACGATCTCACGCCGCCATCGCTCTCGCCGTCCTTCTCTTCTTCGCTCTCCTTTTTGCTCTCTTTCGAGGGTTTTCTCGTGAACAACGCTTCGGAATTCACCACCCCGCACCATGTCTAAAGTTCTCGGCTTTTCCGGTGAGTTCGTTGACCCGTCGCGTTTTTTCTTCGATTTTTGGGTGATGGGTTTTGGTTTTGGTCCAAAATTTTTTATGGGTTTCAGTTGTTTAGGTTGTGCTAATAGGGTGCGTAGAAGGTTTTTATGTTCTCTGGTGATGATTATGCTTTTCATTTGATGTTTTGGGGGGAAAAGTTCGTGGGTTGACCTTGGTTTTTCTTAATTTGTTTGGGGTCGTGGATGATCGTGTAGTATAAGTGTGAAATTTTGAATTGGGTGATGGAAGTCTTGTTTGGCATGTGCTGGGTGGTGATCTGATTTTATGTATGCTTTGTTTTCTCGTTGGTATTTGAATTTTGCATGAGGAATGGTTTTGATAGCTTAGAGGATCTGATAAGAGATGTAATGATATGCGTAGAGTAAGTTGTTGATGAGATAGATGATTTAGCTTGGATTTTTTTTAAGAATTGTGTGTTTTTCTCTTGGTATTTGTTTGAGAGGATGCAAGGGGTTCTTAGACATATATGGATTTCTATTGGCGGTTGAAATATTTCATTCATGGATTGATGCTTTCTGTTTGTTCTATTTACTGGTTGAATCTATATGTTTAATTGTGTTTATGTGTTCAATTTTTGTGCTTTGCTGATTTTGTGCATATGTTTGGGTTCTCAGGAGGTGATGACTTTTGCCCTGGGGGATCAATATACGCCAACCCCAAGGAAGCAAGTTTCTTCCTGCCTCTTGGTCCTCAAGTTGATGTGTACTTTCCTCCTCGTAAGAGATCACGTGTCAATGCCCCATTTGTTTTTGATGGAGAATGGTTTGAGCAGAAGCAGAAAACCTCTATTGAAGCCTTGCCAGATGAGTGTCTCTTTGAGATCTTTAGGAGGTTGCCTGCTGGCGAAGACCGGAGTGCATGTGCTTGCGTTTCCAAGCGCTGGCTCATGCTTCTAAGCAGTATTTGCAAGAACGAAATCTGCGTTAACAAAAGTGTGGAGATCAAGAGTGAAAAGGAGGGTGATGATGTTGAATTTGGTGGTGAGGGATACCTCTCTCGAAGCTTGGAAGGAAAGAAGGCAACAGATGTTAGACTTGCTGCCATAGCTGTTGGTACTGCATCTCGAGGAGGATTGGGGAAGCTTTCCATCCGTGGAAGCAACATGGTTCGTGGGGTAACTAGTCTTGGTCTCAAGGCAGTTGCTCATGGATGCCCTTCTTTGAAGTCTCTTTCTCTATGGAATGTTGCCACTGTTGGTGACGAGGGCCTAATTGAGATTGCTAATGGATGTCAACAGCTGGAGAAGCTTGACCTTTGCAAGTGCCCCTCAATTTCTGATAAGGCTGTAATTGCAATTGCAAAGAACTGCCAGAATCTGACTGAGCTGTCCTTAGAATCATGTCCTAACATTGGCAATGAAGGTCTTAGAGCTATTGGGAAGTTCTGCTCCCATCTAAGGTCCATATCTATCAAGGACTGCAGTGGTGTTAGTGATCAGGGAATTGCTGGATTGTTTTCTTCAACATCTTTGGTTCTCACAAAGGTGAAGCTCCAGGCACTGACTGTTTCTGATCTCTCTCTAGCTGTTATTGGACATTATGGCAAGTCGGTTACCGATATTGTCCTTAATTGCCTCCCAAATGTCAGTGAGAAGGGGTTCTGGGTCATGGGTAATGGTAATGGATTGCAGAAGCTGAAGTCTCTCACTGTTGCATCCTGCAGAGGAGTAACAGATATTGGGCTTGAAGCTGTTGGAAAGGGTTGTCCAAATCTGAAAATTGCTCACCTTAACAAGTGTGCATTTCTGTCAGACAATGGGTTGATATCATTCGCCAAGGCAGCTTCATCACTCGAGAGCCTTCGATTGGAAGAGTGCCACAGGATTACCCAATTTGGGTTTTTTGGTGTCCTTTTTAACTGTGGTGCAAAATTGAAGGCCATGTCGTTGATGAGCTGCTACGGGATCAAAGATCTGAATTTGGTGTTGCCAACAGTGACTCCATGTGAATCACTTCGATCATTGTCTATCTGCAACTGCCCTGGATTTGGCAACGCCTCCCTGTCTGTGTTGGGAAAGCTGTGCCCTCAGCTTCAGCATGTTGAATTGAGTGGACTCGAGGCAGTGACAGATGCAGGTCTTCTTCCACTGCTTGAGAGTTCTGAGGCTGGTTTGGTTAAAGTGAATCTTAGTGGTTGCACAAACGTTACCGACAAAGTTGTTTCATCCTTGGTCAATCTGCATGGTTGGACCCTTGAAAATCTTAATCTTGATGGTTGTAAAAACATCAGCGATGCTAGCTTGATGGCAATTGCTGAAAACTGTGCATTGCTATGTGATCTTGATGTCTCCAAGTGCACGATAACAGATGCTGGGATTGCAGCCCTGGCACATGCCAAACAGGTTAATCTGCAAATTCTTTCTTTGTCAGGTTGTACTTTGGTCTCAGACAGGAGCTTGCCCGCTTTGAGAAAATTGGGTCACACCCTGTTGGGACTCAACATCCAGCACTGCAATGCAATCAACAGCAGCACGGTTGACACGCTTGTGGAGCTTCTCTGGAGGTGTGACATCCTCTCCTGAGCTGGAAGAACTAATCTCACACTGCAATTTAGGCCAGGATCACAACTTGCAGGAAGCTTGTTATGCATAGTGTTGCACAGTAGTTTTTAGGTCCATTAACCGGTCTTCATCGTCCAGTGACTCGGTTTTCTTTTTCTGGAGTGTGCAGTCATTTAGCCTTCATTTTTTGCAGGTTCCTTCAATGGGAAACCTGTTCTTTTTTGGCATCCATCGCCACCTTTTAAATGGCTGCATATCTCTGATAACATAGCTACCGGGTTCTGGAGTTAGGAATCTTTGTTACTGGTGTTGGCACCTGATGTTTTTAGCTCAGCTTTGCGTCGGTTTTGCCCCCATGTGTGTCTTAGTTTTCTGTTTCAAGTTTTTACAGTTACCTGTACCTCTCTTAAGTTGTTTACCAAATGTGTCATGTGTTTGAACTATGTTCTTCACATGATGTTTGGGATAAGTTTTACTCAAAGGGCAGGTTAGAAGCTCCAGTGTTATGTGCTCTTGTCAGGCTGGTTGAAGTTGTCAAGTTCGGTGTTATGAAGCCTTGTTTTTTAGGGCTTGGCTATGGCAGCAAGTTATTCATGTCTGCCATAACCACAACCTTTTTTCCTTTTGGGAAGGGTTGTTTTTTCTACCAAGTCCTAGTTTTTTAAGGCTTCATTTTTTTAACTTGGCACTGCAACTTCTACATTGTGTAATGATATGTTCTTATCTGCCCTTTGTGCTGTATGTTATGAAAAGTAATGGAATAAAATTTTCTGTCTCAATCCAAGAGCAGACGGGTAGATATATGGCTCTATGCTTTCATCATACCCTTACTATTAAGTTATCTTTATACAAATGAAGGAAAGCTTTATACATTTTGATTAAGGTTAAAATGCATAGAACTATTTTGAATAATGAATTAGCAACCTAGTGGTCGAAATTCCTACTTACTGAGATTGTTAAAAGGATAAATGTACTCCTTTTATACAAGTTGAAAAAAGCAAATTATTAAAAATAAGTAAAATAATACTTGGCACCTCTCTCTCAATGCTCCTTACTTTGTCTTAGAATTACATTCTACACGAGTCTCATTTTTCCTTATCTTTTAATCCCAACAAACGATTTTCACTTCATTTTCTCCTCTTCAATTTCTTCCTTTTTGATATATTTGATTTAATAGTAGAAACTGAGTTTTTAATGAGTTAAAATTCTGCACAACAGGGAGTACAGTTGACACAGAGAACAGTGATTTTATTTTATTTTTATAACAGAGAACACTGAATTCTGTAGCTGTACTTGACTCACTTGTGGTATAATTTGCGAAGCGTGGAGGCTGCGTTTGCACAAACTTGGAACTTTATGGAATTTAGCTGTATTTCATTCATTTTTAATTATTATTCTTTTCTCTTTTTTGAAAAAGTAATCATTTTTCTATATATATATATATAAATCTTTAACTAAAGTACATTTAATTTTTGAAGTAAATCCGCAACACGGATTCAAGTTCATGGAATTGGTCTTAGATGACTAATAGTCCAATATTGATAATTGTCGGATGTTATGATGCAAAATATTAAAATAGTTTATTGACTAATTAAAAGAAGTGCAAGTGGTCGGAAATTGAAAGGATCATGGTATGAGTAATAGTATTGTGATAGAGTTGAAAATGGCACATGCACCTTCACATGCATTGTTTGTGTAAAGCAATGAATGATTCATGCACCTCAAAATGCGAAGCTTCCCTTTGCGTTTGTGCCACTGCTTGTTGGGGCCACTACACTAGTTAATTTGAAATTAAAGGAATTGGATGGTTTTGTTTTTGGTTTTGGTTTCGTTACGGATTCTCAAGAGCATAAAATCCAATTATCTAATCACCAAGATTATTGTTGCCATGCCTATGCCAAATGTTATTGTTCTGTGATTGAGATTGATCAATGGACAAAATATCTCTCCCTGTTTGATTAGAGAAGCATTTGTGATTTTATTCAACAACACGATTGATGAGCTTTAGTGTCAAATCTGTAGTGGTTAAGGGTATCCAATGAAAAGAAATCAAATCAAAACCATTCTTTTAGTTTCAACTCTTTATAATGTCTCCATTAATTAATATTTTTTCTATTATCAGGGTTAAGACTTTTCCTGCATTAACACCAATTTATTGTCTTCAAAGAATATAGACATAATACTTCTCTCAAACTTGTAATCTTTATGTCAAAAGATGCTTCCATATTGATTCTCTTTGATATATGGTAAACAATAAAAGAAAAAGATATTGTTTGATACTTACTGATAAAAGAACAAGTGTATACATCTCATTAAGAAATAAAATAAAAGGGAAAAAAGTGAGAAACACAAAAACAAAGAGACTAAAGTATAGAATGATGCTTATCATTGTAAGTGTTGAGTCACACGACAATAAAATGAGATAACTCTCACAATACGTTCATACAAAATATCGCTTATACTTAAATTATTATCTTTTATGTGTTTTTTTATATGCTTTTTTAAAATAATAAAAGTATTCCCTTCAAAAAAAAAAATAATAAAAAGTGTAAGATATATATATTTCACACTAGTTAATAGATATTATAAAATTTTTTAAAAAGTAGATATTAGTAATGTAATTGTCAAATTTGTTAAATGAATTTTTTATAAATATGATGATTTATTGTTATTTTTTTATAAATAAAAATTATAAATTTGTATCATAAAATTATTCATATATATATATATATATATAACCATTTAAATATAATTTAATAATTTATATATTTGTAGTTGGCATTTATCATAATAAATATGTTTTTAATTCCTTAAATTTAAAATTGTTATTTTTATTCCCTGTAATTTTAAAAAAAATTATATTTTAATTTTTATATTTAAATTTTGTTAATAATTTTATCAAATATTATTGCATAAAATCCACCTATTAATATTCTCATTAGTGACAACATCACATTAAATTCAGTTGATATTATCTAACTGTCTTAATTTATCACTTTTAAATATGTTATTGATGATATAAGAAAATAAAATAAAACTTTTAAAAATTATAATAATTAAAAATAATAATTTTAAATTTAAAAAATTAAAAATAAATTTATCATAAATTTGAGAGATTAAAAATATATAAAATTTAAAAAAAAATTCTCATTTTTGATACGTTGTATTGTATATAGGTATGCATATTGCGCACACAACATAGTAGTATTTTATACATGTTTATAAAACTTGATTTGATATATAAAATAAGAATATATTATTACTTAAAATTTCAAAAATAAATTAAACAAATACTATTTAATATATATTTTTTAAAATGAATAACTCAGTTTGGATCCAGTGATGAGAGTTTAGCACAGTAAGCATTATATTATATGTACATGTATAATAAAAAAAAATATTTATATAATAAGATCAGACAACTTTTTATAATTGTAAATATAAAAGAAATGATGTATGAAAATAATAATAATACGAAAAGTTATGCAAAATGAACAGAAAGGTAGAGAAATGCATTGTATTTGAGTGTGACAGTGAAGTTGAATGTATGCAGTGATTGCAGACTATTCACCGAAAGCGACCTGCCTAAGATAAGAGGTACACAAGTCAAAGACAATTCATTGCCGGTACATGTACCGGCAAATCTTCTTTTTTAATCTTCTTTTTCTTAACTTTTTAATCTTTATAATTTAAGATAATTTTTTAAGTTTTTATATTTATAATTTTTAAAATTTTTAAGTTTTTATCATCAATTTTTTTCTTCAATATTATCTAACGTAGTAAAAATTTTCAATTGTGTAACAGTAATAAGAATGTGACAACAAGGAGAGTTTTAAATAGGATAAAAAAAGGCATGAAAGGTTGAGGATCTAATTTATTATAATCATGTAAAAATAAATTTGACATGAAACACAAAAAATTATTTATATATTTGTCAATATAAAAGAGATAATGATAAAAAAAAATATAATATTAGAAATTAAAATAATTAAAAATTATAAATATAAAGATTAAAAAAATTTATAAAAAAATAAATATATAAACTAAAAATATTTGCTTTAAGTTATTGAAACTAAAAGATTAAATAGGTGAAACAATAAAAATTTTAAAAAATTTTAACCTTAAAATATACAAAAATTTAATACGTTTTATTTCTTTAAAGTTTGAGATAAATTTATTTTTGTATTTTAAATTTAAAATTAATTTTAAATTTTTTTGTAATATAGAAAAACAAATTACTCATTTTATTCATATGTCGTTATCAAATATGTAAAACAAAACTCCAAGCGTGTGATTCAGCAGTAGGGGTTGATCTACGCTTAAGCAAGATTAGGGATTCGAAACCTACCTTATGTATGCAGTCGCGTTAAATCTTGGGTGTGAGACCTATGAACCCTTCCCTCTCACTTTTCTCCCCTCTCTTGCACTTAACTCTCTTTCACTCTTTTTTCTACTCACTCACTCTCTCTTCTTCCATTTTGGCTGGTTGTGTCCTCATTTCCTTGTGATGACTTTGGATTGAAGGTGCTGAGTAGGTGGTTGTTTCTTCCGGAGTCGTGCCGTGCGGAGCTTCCCATTCCTTCCCTCTTTTCTCCCGCTTCTTCTTTTCGGAGCTCGGCATGCTTGAACCGAGGGTAAGGAAAGCTAGCTTTCTTCGCTATTTTTGGATGTCAATGGAGTTCAAGTAACTCAATAGTTGTTGAAGAGGTTGATTCTTGGCTGTGATTGAAGAAAATTTTCGTTTTCGGGTTTCCGGGGTTTGGGTATCTCGAGGTTTTCACTTGTTGATGGTTGCATGTTGGAAATGAAGTGTTTTTTTTTATGCTTGATGAAAATGCTGGATTTTGGATGGTTTGCATGTTGGTTTCCTAGTGATTTTCGCAGGTTTTGATGAAATTTTCGAAGTAGGTAAGGGTTCCTGTTTGAATTTGCGTCGGGCGCAGTTCTTCGCGCCGGGCGTGAGTTGAAATGAGGAATCCCTGGGTGAATCACGCCGGGCGTGGGGAGGACCACGCCGGGCTCACTATGCGCTGGGCGCAGGATGATTGAGCCGGGCGCAATATACCTTGGTAGGTCTGTTGAGAATTGCGTCGGGCGTGATTTTAATGCGCCGGGCTTGATTTTAATGCGCCGGGCTTGATTTTAATGCGCCGGGCTTGATTTTAATGCGCCGGGCTTGTGTTTTTCTTTCAGAATTTGACTTTATAGTCTTCATGAAAGTTGTAGCCTTGGATGTTAGCTTTCCAATGGTGCTGTACTCACCCAAAAAGGAGTTGTAGAACTCTAGATATGGCTGTTTTAGTGAAGAGGGGTCGAGCTGCTAGCTTTATTTATAGCTGTTGCGGTTTTTATCCTTTTTAACAAGGTAGATGAAGGAATTAGGACTTGGTGTCTTCATGAGAGTTGTAGGAAATTTTATTATCTTTCATATGAGATAAGGACGAGCATGGTAGGAGTAGTATAACTCCTGACGCGCTATTTTCTGTGATGGCTGCCATTTCACATTTAGTGATTTGGTTAAGTTGAAAGTTGTTTTAGGTGCTTAGATTGATTGGTGTCGTTTGGGTGGGGAATTTGACAAGATAGATGGGTTGTAAATAAGGTGGATGAGCCATATTATGTGTAGAATATGTTGTATGTCGTATATGCTGTTAATGATGTAATGCTACGCTATAATAGATATATATATTGCCGTGCTGAGTTGGGCTGTCATGGAGGATTATCATGTTGAATTAAAATATTGTTGTACTATAGACTGTTGAGTTTAAGTAGAAGCTGTTGATTATAATGTGATGAC